ACACCATCCCAAACAAACTACTTCCCGTGCATCGCCATTATCCAGTCATATGCGCTTCATAACAATTGCTCGATTGTCTCGCTTGGCAGCTGTCCACGTTCGCTTCCATGCAAGTAAACTGTTAGCAACGCTGTTCCAAAACTGAACATTGATTACAATTATTAGAGTTAGAGGTGTCCCAGTGTGGAGAATGGCTGGCATTGTCTTCTGCCGTTTTTTTGTGTCGTCTTTTTGTTTGGTGGCCATGACCAAAACGTTGCAATCTTTCAAGAAGTTGCTGGCTGCCAAGATGCACTACGGGACTGAAACAACATGCTTTGCATTGCTAACCTGGCTTCTAAATATTCTATTCTTTTCATATTTGTGGTGTTGTTGTTGTTCCACCTAGCTAGCTCCACCGCATCATCATCATCCACATCAGCAACGGTCGTTGTGTGGCCTTTTTGATGGTCGCAGTCTTTTGTTTGGCTGCTACACCACCATCAAATATTAATATTAGCAGGCATATGCATGCATGCCATTCATGGCAGCTCAATATATCCAGCCAAGTGAACAGCCTTCCTGCCAGCTAGCCAGCCAGCGTGCCTGCTTAGCTTAGCTTTACTGCTACAAGAATTTTATATGAAATGCAACTTAGTTTGGTGTTGGTGATGCCGATGCTGGGGCTATGGCATAAATCTGCGTACCACACTGCCCATGTGAGTGTGAGTGTGTGTGGCGTTGTGTTAAACCCCAATACCCCATTTGGGATGCATGTAATGGTAATGCTGTTGCCTCTTGGCTAGAAAACAATATGGAAAACGGGGTACCAAAATGAACTGAGCAATTTTCCATTCATCTCAGTTGTCAAATAAACGGAATTTGTGAGTTTTGCGTTGGCTTGCCTTGCTTAAACTTAGCCTCCCAACAATCTCGCATACGGCAAAACGGCGGCCAATAGTTAGCCAGCCAACAGGCAGCCAGTCAGTCATTCATCCCAACAATTTTGCTGTGTATATAACAAACCGAACGACAGCGGCCCAACATTATGCCATTAAACCACCCTGCACGTCCCTCTCTGTAGCTTGGTTTTGGGAGGGGATATTCATACCACCACAGCATCTCCAGCTGTGTTAGGAAATTGCCCACTCAAAACTTTGTTGCAATAATGTCTAAGGTCGTTGTTCCAAAATGTCTGCCCAGCCAAGTCACATGGTGGACTCCTCTGAAAAGGTCTTTGAAAATATATGATTTGATATATTGACAATAGTAAAATTTGTGCAAAGGGGGGAGGGCGCTGAGGTCTATTGTAAAATTTATAAAGGGTTAAATAGTTCCATTGTTTGTTAATATCCAAACATAATGTTGATCCTTTATCAGTTGCAAGAGATTTATTGGCAAATGGCATAATATAAAGAAAGATAGGGAAAAGGTAAGGGAAGGGGGAGGGGGGATAGGAAATAAGAAAAAATGTGATTGCCTGGGGATTTCCGAAAGAATATACTTAGCTTATATTCCTTGCGGTTTAGAGATGATTGAATGTCCCTATGAATTTGAACTTAAGAAAAATGGGAAAGACCTTCCAGCTGAGAATAAGTGATCTCCCTCGATTTTCAGAAATAAAAAATCTGAAAAATTTTAAAGAAAATTAATCTCGTTCAGGAAGCCTAAAGGTTTATTGAGAATCAGCTAGAATCCCTAAAAGTATGCTTTAAATCTACTACATGAATATACCACTGTCATTTATGCCTAGACCTTCAGCACCAAAATATTTTTAAGAAATAAAATCGATAGACGAAAGGGCTGGACCTAGTTACACTAGTTCCTTTCACCTTTTTTTAATATTTTCGTAAGTCTCTTTACTTCAAAATGTCCGTAAAAAACACCTTTTCATTTTCTATAATTTCATAGATAAATAATCAGATAAAACAAATATAGGATCCTGCAAAAAATCATAAAATGTTCTTAAAATTGGATCAGCTGTTGTCAATCCATAATCCCTTAAAGTATGCTTTTAATCATCTAAGTCCGTACATCCCTGCCAGTTAGGCCTGCACTTTCAACGTATATTTGTTTTAAACAAATGAAGTGGATAAACGAAAGGTCTGTGGTCCCTAAAGTATGCTTTAAATCACCTAAGTGATTACACCCCTACCAATTAGGCCTGGACTTTCAGCACCAAATTTTTTTTTTACAAATCTTTATTTCCTGTGTCCGAAACAAAATACTTTTACATTTCGGAGATGCTCTCAATTTCGAAAACCCTGACATCACATAAGAGAGAGAGAGAGAGAGAGAGATACATGTTCCAGCCAGATAATCAAAAAATTCATACTCCCTAAAAGTATGCTTTAAATCATCTAAGTTCTTATATCCCGACCAGTTGATGAAGGTATTCGAGGGTACATGATTTCCACTGATTTCCCTTATTTTTTATACCCTCAGTCGTGTGGCTACTGAAGGTATATATCGTTTGATATGGCCACACTGTTTCTCATCCAGATAACGCTTGTAGACCTCATTTTTCCTTGGTCGTAAGCCATTTTAGGACATTTGGAGTCTATTTAGTGATGTTAGTCCGTCTAAAGGTAGGATCCTAACTTGAGATTTTTCTTTTTTGATTTCATCAAACTTAGATCAAGTTCGAAGATTGTGAAAAATCGTCCGCTGAGGGTGGTCTTCTGTCTATGGACCTTTGACATAAGGTCGCTCCGTAGAAGACGTATGGAAAGCCTTCTATCTGTTGTAGATTTGTGGATGGTATTCTGTTAGCAAACGATATGTGGAAGGTATTCTATCTTTAGGAACTCTATGAAAGTTATTTTCTCCTTAGAAGACCTATGGAAGACCTTTGTGGAATGTATTCGATACACAGAATATTTTGGGATAACTTCCATCTATAGGGGTTCTGTAGGATCCCTGACTATAAGATACCATTGGAAGGTATTTAATCTATAGAAGACCTGTGAAAATTCTTCGATTTGTAGATAGCGATATTCTCGGCCGATCGCCTTGGTCGACTTTTATATGGCCTCTTCGGATTAGAAAGAGCCTTACCAGTCGAAAATTTTTCGTATAAACGCTTAATGGTGTTCTTAGAAGGCGCACTTCTCACATTTTTTAATGTTTTAAAAGCACGTTGAGTTTTCACAATTGACTTCTTCTGTTGAATGTAAATTTCAACTATTTCAGAGCGCTCGCGTGGCGTGTATTGGTTCATGGTAAAAATCTGCTTGGACTGACGCTTCAAACGCGGTATGTCATTAAGCGATGTGACATCTCTGTCAAAAGTTATGGCGTTGCCAGATGGGTCCGTCGAATATGGACAACCCTGTATATAAAGCGAAATAAGTATCTGAACTAAATCGAACTACTCCTTCCGAAAATTCTTCCACAAATGATCAAATTCAAACCTATTATAGAATGCGAAATGATTTTGTGATTTCCTTCGGATTTTCTTTATTCCAAAATTTCAAACGGCAAAATGTCCGAAGCGAAGATGAGATATCTGGGTCCAATTCTTCTACTATCTTCAAAAAAAAAAAAAAAAAAAAAAAAAAAAAAAAAAAAAAATATTTCGAAGCATCTAATTTAGTTGAAATTTTGCACTTCGTAATATTTACACCAGCTCGGGATCATTTGCAAGATTAACCCTTCCTTTTGGAACCCTTTCTGCGAGAGGTCAACACTTTCAAGAATAATGACTTTTAAGAAAATCTGAATTTAATGTCAGATTTTCTTCATCCTAAGCACATATCAATATTTCAACCAGTTCCAAGTAAAAATTCATTTTAGTAAGCTAAGAAGGTTTTTTATTTTTTTTTTTAATTTATTTTAGAAAGCTAATTAGGGTTTTCAATAATTCCAGAAACAAATTCAATTTTTAGTAACAATAAATTGACGTTAGTTCACGATTTATTTTTATATCTGCCTGCAAATCGACCTATTTCTAACTTAGGCCCTCTTCATAATGGCATATTCAATAATAAAAGCAAATGCCCTTTTGTAGATTCTGTAATATGGACGCAATCAGCTGTTTTCAATTCGCAATCCCTAAAAGTATACTATGAAAGCATTTTCGTTTCTTTCTCTCCTCCAAAAAAATCCTCAGTTAGTAGAGGATAACATGTCCCATTAAAAGCTAACACACCTCATTTTCTCTCAGAAGAGAAATATACCTATTCCAATTTTGATCCAATGGTAATCAGGTGCTTCAAATTCGTCATCCCTAAAAGTATGCTTTAAAAAACATCTACGTTCTTTCAACATCTACACAAAATGGAATTTAGAAGAGGATTAGTAGGCATTAAAGGCTAACGTTTTTAATTTTTTTTTCGAAGAAAAGGTATCCCTTTCCATCTTTATCCATTGAGATAAATAGTGGATAATATGTTAGTTATTCTTAGGATACCAAAAACCTCTTCAAATAGATGAATTATGTAATAAAAGGCGATAAAGTTTTTTTTGTAAATTTTATGCCTGCTCTCCTAGTTTTGATGGTTGATTATTTGTCTAAAGCAGATTGAGGCAAGATACCGCACAAATCTCTCCCAAATGCAAATTAAGTCATTAATAAACTCTTGGCTCACACATTACCAAATACAAGAAGAGATAAAAATCGGTTTTTTGCTTCACGATGGCCTACAATCGATATGGCATAGAGTCGCATGTTCTCCCAATTTTTTTAATCTCTCATCATTTTATTATGGTTCTGATGTGTGTGGGGAGAATTACACTCGCTGAGAGCATGGGTGCCAGCATTTGTCTAAGCCTGGTCGAGGTACTTATTAAGTTCTAATGTTTACAGTGGTTCTCAGTTTCATATCCTAAGGCAGGTTTAAAAAATAACATGAAATTCAATTTTAAAACGTTGAATAATCACAAATAAAGAAAATTAGATCCAGTCAGCTGTTTCTGATTTATGATCCCTAAAAATATGCTATACATTATGTAAAATAAATTTTGTTTGAGCTTTATTTGTTACTAATTCATTTCTTTCTCTTCCTTTCTTTCCATTTCAGATGTTCCAAGGCTATTTTGATATTGTAAACCCTGCCATAATTTCCAAACCACACATACACACATCACGTCACTCACACCTAAACATAATGTCACATCAATCCATACCTATGAGATTTAGGTAATGTAATCGTCAAAAAAAAAAAAAAAATAAGAGAAACGCTGTTCAAACGCTCAAGTGTGCCATACCATCAGCAAATTCTTATCGAAACCAGAAAAGCCCAAAAGCCAACAACGGTCACAACGAATCATTGTACAAGAGACAACCTCTGCAGAGCTAGAAATCCGAGCCTTCCACAAGAAATCAACTGAGATTAAAGTGCCTTTTTTTAAATAAGTTTACACACATCCAATACATTATTCGTTTATAAGCCACATTTTTTCGTATATTAAGGACTACATTTAAGTTTTTTTTGTTTTATACCATAAGGAGCCATTAAGTATAGAAACAACAACAACATACTCATTATCTACAACAACATTCCATTCGTCAAAAAAAAAAAAAAAACATTCCACGCGGATAAGGTCCTTACTCCGTTCACATACTCCATCCAGTACCAGCAACAACTGGCAAGTGCAATTCACAAAAATCTTCCATAAATAACAGAAACGGATCAGCTTTACCAGACTCACCCTCCTAGGATTCCAAGAATCATCCATAACTTTGCTTTAATCACTCTCTACGCTGGCATAAGATGTCCTCATCATCTCCGGTCACGACCAGTGTCATTACCGCCAACGAACTTGCTTTAACGGCCCAAGCGAATATGCATCACCGGGCTGCCCACATGCATGAAGCCCCCCTCTCGCCAGCACGTGCCAATTCAGTATCAGTGGCTGGAGCCACAGGAACCACAACGGGCAACATTGTCACCACCACCAGTATTTCGAATTCTGGACAAACGGCCAATGGTATACCCATGATATCGCCCGAAGCCATGCACCACTCGTCACCGGATAGTCCACAACCAGAATTGGCCACCATGACCAATGTAAATGTGCTCGATCTGCACACTGACTCCTCCAAGTTATACGACAAAGATGCTGTCTTCATATACGAAAGCCCCAAAGTGGTAATGACAGGGGGTGGTGGAGGTCCCCAGGATGATCATGTCATTGATGCTCGCATGGTGGCCCAACTGAATCAGCAGCAGGCAGCCGTGCAGACGGCCCATGAAAATCAACCCTTGGCCAAAATAGAATTCGATGAAAATCAAATAATTCGAGTTGTCGGACCCAATGGTGAGCAACAACAAATCATCTCCCGGGAAATCATTAACGGCGAACATCACATTCTGTCACGCAATGAGGCCGGTGAACACATTCTAACACGCATTGTCAGTGACCCCTCGAAACTGATGCCCAACGACAATGCCGTGGCAGCAGCCATGTTTAATCAAGCCCAAAAAATGGCCAATGATCATGCCGTCTATCAAACATCTCCCCTGGACGCCTCCGTTTTGCAGCATTACGACACCGAGGCTGTGGTCAAGACCGAGGTTGATATCTACGATGATCCGAAGAAACAAAATTCCGGACAAATTATATACACCACATCGGGCCCAGATCCGGGAAATCCCAAACATTTATCGCACTTACCGATGGGTGCCAAATTGGATCCGGACATGTATCCCACAGATAAACACATCGATTTAATCTACAACGATGGCAATAAGACGGTGATCTACACAACAACGGATCAAAAGGGTTTGGAAATTTATTCGGGCAGTGATTTGAGTGGCCTTGTGGCTGACGGCCAGGTTGTGGTCCAGGGTGGTTTACAATATGCTGGACATGGTGGACCAGGAGGTCAGCCAGTTTACATTGTGGCCGATGGTGCTCTACCGCCGGGTGTGGAAAGTCATATTCAGAGGTAAGTGAAAAAGAAAAATTATGTTTTTGATTATTTAAATTTTAGGACAGGGTTTTTTTAGTGTTTCAGTGCAAAGAACTTTTAAGTATTTCTAATCTTCGTTGAACATGTATCCTTTTTGTGGTATTTTCTTATATACGAAAGAAAAATGCAGTATGTAGCCTGGATTTGACCCAGCAGTTTTATAAAATTTGTTAAAAATTTACCTTTTAATGTCCGAAATAGCGGAAAAATCATGACATCGTCCCAAAAAAACCTATCCCAGAATATTTCCTTGTTCATTAAATAGATAAAAGCAGGCTCAACCCTATAAAAGTGTGACCTCTGTTAGATTATAACGTGATGGTATGTCACAATATGGTGACACAACATATTTTTTCCACTACCAACGCCATCTATTGAATTAAAGTAACAATGAAATGTCAAATTTTACATCATATATCCTTGTATATGGTCTTTTTCTATCCTATCCTATCATGATCAGACAATTACCTCCTTATGGAACTGCGAAAGGGTCATGCCTTGGCTAAATTATGATTTCCCCCTAAAATGAAGCATATTTTTAGGGATTTTTGAAGAAAACAGCTGATTGCACCTCATTGTCGAGTTATTAATCGAAATTGTATACTTCCTAAGCATTTTTGTCTTGACCCATGGGTTTTTCTTTCAATTTAAATAATTTTATAGACATTTCTTGAGTTATAGATCTTATTGTATCCTCCTTATCTGATTTTAAAGTTTTGTAATTCATAAATTTGTCCTTCATATAATTTGCTTTACATAAATTCTTTAGAAAACCCGTGTCAGATATTTGATCTGTAGTCAAACTTTGCAGGTATTTTTTTCTCTAAAAAAAAACTGGGCAGTCGTGTCGATGCTTTTTAGATTATCTGAAATGAAGCTGGTTCTTCGATTCCCCACCTCCCATGCCTCCCATGCTAACTGGTCTAATCGTTTCCTTTACATTTCCCTATCCTTTATTTCGATCTTTCACTTAGTTCGTCCATTAATTGTGTTCACTCTTTTAAACAAATCAAGTCGATGAAAAAAGAACCGCATCATATAACGATATTTCCTTTCACAAAATCGTTTATTTGAAATACTTTCTACGGGTGAAATGGTAAAATACTAACCCAGTCAGCTGTTTTTATCATTTTCTCCCTAAAAATAGGCAACATTTAAAATAGAAAATATATGGTAGTCAATCTTAAGATATTTCTCTGGGGTTTTTCGGAAATTATGGTTTATATTGGCAGAAAAATTATTAGCTTTTCCAATATTTGTAGAATTTATCTGTCAACATAACCTATAAAAATGATATTCTACCTGGGAGCACTATCTGAAATTATAATATATAAAATTTTCACACATAAAATAATCGTATTTAAATATAATCATGCTATAGAAAATAATAGCTAGAGATGTTGTACAGATGGATTCTTTGAAATCGATTATATGAAGCAATCCTTTTCAAGGAATTCCCAAAAATATGCTTTGCTTCATTAATAATTCAAGTTTAGTGGAATCGTTAACCAATTTCAGCATTTATTATAGCAAAGACATTAAGACCTTAAGATGGTACATCTCATAGCCAATAGGTGACACCAAGTGTCATGGAAAGATTTCGATGCCTTTGAATATTTTTAATTCCCATTTAAATGTGGAAATTTTATGGTGCACAAACTTAGTCCTTTATAAAAAAGAAGCTTTTATATTTTTTGGCTTAATGTGATGATGATAGGACTCAATCAGCTGTTTACTCAAGGAATTCCTAAAAGTATACTTTGATTTATTAATGGTTTAAAATTAGTCGAACAACAAACCAGTTTTAATATCTTTTTTTTAGCGAAGACATGAATAAAATAACATGGTATATCTCATTGCCAACAGTTATAAATAGATGGCACTAAGTATCATGAAGACTTCGGGCCGCTGAGTATTTTAATTTTCCATGGAAATGTGGAAGTCGCATGAAGCAAATACTATAGTCTTTTATAAAAAAAGTTCATTGCATAGTATATAGAGCATTCTGCAGATAGACGACATTACCAAGAATAGACGACATTACCAAGAATATCTTCATCCTAAAGTCCTTCAGTGGATCTTATACATATAGTAGCCTTTTTTTTTACTATTTCTTGGAATCCTAACCTCCCATTCTGGCTCTTCTCTTACTTTAAAAGATTCTAAAATTGTTCTTGCTTATTCAAATTGAAGCTAAAACTTAAGCCTTAGTGGCCAAATTGTTAGTAATGCACAGTTTTTCCATTCCGTGGCCGATTATATGATGCAATCAGCTGTTCACTTAAGGAAATATTTTGATAACAATTTAAATTCAGTCGAAACACGAACCAGTTTCAGCATCTGCCTAAGTAAAGACACACACAAAATAAGACATCCATGAATTTACAGTAGATGGAGCTAAATATCCAAAATAGATAACCACGACACCTCATTTAAGTAATTAACAAATTTTAAATCTTCAAAAAAGCGTCTCGTTTAGCCATTCTATGGATGGGTTACATTCCCAAGATCGTCTTCGTAAAGTCCTCCAGTGTGTCTTTTATCGATAGTAGACTTCTATACTTTCTCTATAAATAGTATGGAGGCTAGAGCGCTTTATGGCCATTTTCCCATATTAGAAAATCTTAACATCAACATAAGTAAAATTGCAAGTTTATGGCGAACAATTTTACTACAGATGGCGTTAAATTTTATAAGAAAATATAACAGCAATTCAACATTTAAAATCAACTCGAAAATTTCAAAAATTGTTTTGCTCAAGCTTTTTCAAGACCTCTATTTTTAAATCACATCATAATACAAAAAAGTAGGTACAGGTGATTTTCCCGATTAGATAAGGTAATAGCTGTGTTCTCAAAGAATGCCTAAAAATAGACTTCGGTTTTCATAATTTAGTAAGTTAGTCTGAACATTCTCCACTCCAAGAGAATGGGGAAGATAATTTTCTAAACCTGACAAGAGATGGCTTCGAATGTTATGAAAAGATGTGGCGACAATTCCATATTTATAATTTCCAAGAAAATGATAGAAAAATCAAGACACGACTTCTCAAGCTCTTCCTAAAAATAAATAGATTACAAAAAATTAGTTGGTACACCTTTTAAGGTGATTGGACCGATACGAGAAGGTAATCAGCTGTTTTCTCAAAGAATGCTTAAAAATAGGCTTCGGATTTCAAACGTTATTAAGTAAATCTGGACATGATCCACATTTGACATCATACATACATGCAAAAGAATGCGGAAGTTCATATTGAAAATTTAAGAACAGATGGTGTAAAATGTAATGGCTAGACATGGTGGCAATTCCATATTTATAATTTCCTACAATAAAAATCAAGAGGCGATTATTTGTTCTACTTAAGCTCCTTCTAAGGTAATCAGCTGTTTTCTCAAAAGTTGCCTAAAAATAGGCTTCGGATTTTAAACTTTATTGAGTTAATCTGGACATTATCCACTTCCGACATATATTTAAGCAAAGACATAAATGCAAGAGAATGGTGAAGTTCATTCTTCAGATGTGACAGCAGATTGCGTTAAATGTCATGACAAGCTATGGCGGCAATTTCATATTTATAATTTCCTCGAAAATAAAAAAAATCATGGGCGATTAGTTGTTCCTCTCAAGCTCTTTCCAAAAATAAACGGATATCAAAAATAGTAATTTTTGGTGATTGGCCCGATTATAGAAGGTGATCAGCTGTTTTCTCAAAGCATGGCTTCGGAATTTATACAATATTGACCTAGTCTGGATATGATAAATTTTTGACATATATATTTAAGCAAAGATATAAATGCAAAAGAATAGGGAAGCTCATACTGAAAGTGTGACTACAGATGGCGTTAAACGACAGATGGCGGCGACATGGTGGCAATTGCTTATTTTAAATTTCCCAGCAAAAAAAATCAACAATTTATTTATTAGAAAATTAAATTCATTTGTCCATAGTTCTGCACTCTGAAGAATAACCATTTATTTTTAGTTTGAATTTTCCCAGTTTTTATTTAAGATTTCTAGGTTTTCATCTACTTTTCTCAACCATCCCTTAAAAATATTTAAAAATCTTCACCTTTGAAATCGGGTATAAAGTTCATTCTCCTACTCTGCGGGAATTTATTTTAGTATTTCATTAAAGAATCTTCGGGAAAACCACAAAATGGGGACGTGATGATGTTGGGAATACTTTTGCCATTGGTTTTTTTTTGTGTTTCTACTCCTTCCAATGTCGAAAATACCTGCCAAATGTTTGGAAAAAGCCACAACATGCATTGCATTCGCAACTAAACATCCTTTCTAAATGTAAATAAAAAAACTAGGATTCGTTAGTTGATGTCTCGCAACAAATGAGACAAACAACAGATTTCCTTTCCTCATTTGCATCTGCCTTGGCTGGCCTCCTGTTTTTAGTATTCTTCTCCAAAGACTAAAAAGAGGAGGGGAAACTCTTAGTTTAGAAGTAGCCAAGGAAGCGGCGGCATTGGTCTTGGGTCGGTGTTGTTAAATGATAAATCGCATGCATAGCTGGAAGTCAATCGTATAAAATCTACGCAGCTGCGTCATGCAAACCTTTTGGCTGCTGCAGCCAACAAATGGACAGATCGAAAAAAAAAAAAACAACAGAGTCAGGCAATTGAAGCTTAGCATATTATTGTACTTAGAATACAACAACAACAATGAAAACGACGAGAGAATAAAATAGTTGTTTTGTTGTGTTGGTGTTTGGTGTTGTTTTGAGAATCAAAAGCCATGCAATAACATTGCTCATGCAATCCATCTATTCGAGTGTTGCCAAATACAAATGCCTCACTCCCGCCTCCTTTCCTGCCACTCAAGGAAACTTTGGCCATCAACCTCCTCGTCTTCATCATCATGATCGTCTCTGAACGAAACAACTACCACTTCAGCAACATCATCCCATACATCTCAACTAACATACATTACGGAAATGCAATTTTGTCATTATTTATGGATGTATA